ACTGACCTAAGACTTCACTGGCTCATGCTCCTGTCAGCTCAGCAAAACAAACGGGTCCTACAATTCACACGAGCTTAACAAAATTGAGTAACAGATGATTGGATAAACTGATGAGTTTTAATATCTTCAGTAAAATTCAGACTGAAGGGTCAGAATTTGGTGTAAAAAACATGGCAGCACAGATCTACAATCTGTGGTGTGTCAACAGTTCAGACTGATGATGGGGCAATGGTGTGGGGAATTTATGCTAGCGAGGTAGTTAATAAGGTGTCCAGTGAGTTTATTGGTAAAAGCGATGATTAGATTTATTGATCTTTTACTTCTATTAATGTGTTCATTAAGTAGTTATTAACCCCTTCCATAACTGAATACAGTAATTTCCACCAACCTCTGTGGTTTGAAGACACGGGACTAAAACAATTCAACAAGATGCTAATTTATGTTCATAAACCCAAAGTCCAAAAACCCCCCAAAAACAAACAAACAAAACAAAAAACAACAACAAAAACAACCCACAACACTTTGATTCTTTTGATTCCTACCTTTCCCACATCATAGTCCTCATCTCATTCTTCTTACAACACACATTGCAGGGGCCTAAGTGTGCTGCTTTTAGTGGGTGCCAATCAGGTACAATATTTGTTAAAGTAGGAAGAGTCTTCATATCCCTGAAAAATTACAGCATAAAATGTATTTAGGATTCAGACACAAAACAATACAGTGAAGATGAGAAGTGCAACTAACTAGTTAAAAAAACCCCAAAAAAAAAAACATGCCACTACCACGTTTTTTGTAATGTATTGCTGGCATCACATTTATTTGACATGCTGATTTTCATCAGCTAAGCTTTCAACTCTTATGTATCTTATGTAACATTTCTGGCAGAAATGCAGCTGAGGAATTTGTACAAATTTGCCTTCAATTACTTAATATTTCATATTTTCCCTTTGCCCTCTTGAGAGACGCCCAAAGCAGAGTTGGGCCTCTTCCAATTCGTATAATAAACAATGCATCTGCTCCCAGCAGTATAGTTATTCTGTGCTGTGGTTACACAAAGATCAAGTTTTATGGAATAAAGTGTAATGCAGTATTTTGTACACCTCAGCTGGTTAAAAATAAATGAACCTACCTTTTTCTCACAGGTGTTTTACATTTGCTGCACTTCATCTCCCAGTAAAAGGTTGCCTGGAAGAGACACTCTACCCAAGAATCCATCACAAGCAGCAGCGGCATAGCAAATACCGGAGTTTCCCTCTGACCTGAAAAGTAAAAACATGTCAGAGTTCGAACACTGTTACACGCTCAGATGCACGCTCCTATTCCAGGTGATTTTTAAAAACATAATCTTTGGATGGGGATTAAGATAAACTTTAGATATCACATCAGGATAGCCAT